GCTCGCAACCTTCTAGAGAATCTTGAGGCATCGTGGTCTAGAAATCATTCACTTCCAACTACAGTTATAAGAGAAATTAAAAGTTAATGTAAGGACAATGTAAAAGGCACGGTCGCCAAAGGGTTAATTAACGGAGTCGAGTCGCGCGAGTCACTCAATCTCGAGTTGGATGACTTTAGGTTCTTCGTTTGATCGCGTTGATCAAATCGTTTTTATCAGATCTACATATTCATTCAGAGATTAGTTTACAAAGGAATACGGCCGAAACGTTAGCCGAATAAAGCTTGTATCATCTTGGTCGTGGCTTCAGAGAGACCTCCAAAGTTATAAAGGAATCGTTTATCAAACGTAGCGCTTCAACTTGGCACCTGCAAGCGGAGTCTCCATCTCATAGCCCCTGCTTATCTTCAAGCTGAGACATGTAGACGGAAATTTCCAGTTAGGTCACTGTCGGCCTTCACTCCTTTTTATAGTGCAATTCAAAGTACAGCCCTCCAACTGATCGCCACCCCTGTCTGGCAGTTTGGATAATTCTGCCATACCTAGAACTTAACAATAGAGCTCTTTGAGTCTTGATCAAGAATGGACTTAGTTTTGTTAATCTCTTCGTGCTCGTCACTTGGCAGATTTGATTTTCGATTCTCGTACTTTTTACCTACTTTTGCCATGTCACATCCGCTTGCTCATTCCCATAATAGACCAATGAACTTACCGACTTCCGCTTTCAGAAGTATCCGTGGCCCGACATCTACCCACCATGTTTCCCACAGTACTTGGAGGTACATATTCATTGGGCTTTCACTTCTATTTATGGGTACCACGCAACAAACGGAAATGAACACAACACAACAGAATACGCTGTACACATGTGCTTACCACTTGTTCAGTGTACTTCTCCTTATGCCACATCTCGATAGGCTCTAGTTGCTCGATATTTCTCACCCTCTCTTGAATATCTATGGGTTTTATGGATCAATTCCGAACACTTTCATTTAATTCTTCCCATACTTCTTCTCTTTCTAGGTGCTCCCAGGAAACTAGAAAACTCCCAAATCTAGGCTTTCCTCATGCCAATTCGTTCAACATAATTCTTCTATTGCTTTACTCCTCTCAATAAAGCCCTATCGATGGAAATCATCCCCCTAACAATTTTCCGCTCGAGCATTGCACCTATTTAAAAAGCTGCTATCCCCTCAGATTTAGGATCTCGCATGTAGCCCCATAGGCTGTGGACTTTCGAATGAGAGGAANTTGGAAGTTTTTGCCTAATTTCACTTCAATTACACACGCTCCACATTAAGACACCCAATTATAATCACAACACAGTTAACAGACAGTTAATGGAAAGAAAGGATTAAAACAAGGCAAAATCCTGATTTCGCATTACCAAATGCGTACGTCTAGCATTATTTCATCACATTTCGAAAATACCGTAGGTTACACCATTGCAATTGTTTTACCGTAATCGTTCTTCAAATACGGTAAGTGTTCCTAATGTAGTTTGAACCGTTGATAACCATAATAACTATAATAACACCCCCCACTGTGAATAAATTAAAAAATAGAAAATTTGCCTCAGAAGGAAGGAATTCTCTCTTCTTCTCCGAATAAATCAGTTTTTTACGAAAGTAAATTCCACTTCTTAGACGACTTCTTTTAGTTTGCATTCATGGAACTTATTACTAATGCCTATGCTCTTTTTTTTTTCTTAGCTCCACCTGTACTTCACAGAAAGGTGGGCGTAATTTGACATAACTCTCAAGTAATAAGTAGTTCAAGGTTCTGTCAGATTTGTCCTTGACATAGATGTAGAAAAGCTTCGATCCCTTTTCTTGAAATTAGGTTATACCAAAAGTAATCAAGGACCTGTCTCTATCGTTCCGAATGTATAGCCTTCAAATAAGTTAAAACTCATATAACTTTTGGCTAATCCCCTGATGGAATTTTGCAGATTAAATGTAGTACAAAACGCATCCTAATCTAAAAATCAGGAAAAAGTGGTACCATTCCGATTTCTGCGGCATAGTTCCCGATGTTGAACCATTTTCCCAATCTCCCCATCAAACAGAAAACATCAACGATTCGATTTTTCGAGCTATTTGTAGAAGAAAAGTGTATGTATCCGTCTCAACCTCGTTAGTGCAATCTCTAAGGTTCATGCTACGTTTTCTCCGATCATTTTTTGAAACCTTTTTCTCTTCCTAAAAAGATCTCAAAGTACTACGAAATGGTTGAACTTTCTTCTCAAAACTCTCCTATATCGTCAATAGATATACCTTTTTTCAATGTCTTCTCGTCATTATTTGAATGACCACTTTATTAACCAATTTCGAAAAAATAATGACTCTGAACTTCTGTAGTACATACTACATTCTTACAGTGGATGGTGACGAGGGAAACGCCTGTAAGTAATCAAATGCTTCGGTCCCTCTGTGGATGCCGAACAAACCGCGTGGACGACAAAGACGTCATCGTCGTTGAAGACTACCGTAACACGGTAAGATTCACCTACAACACTGCTTTCCGCGCCAGACTGTACAACCACCGCAGGCTGCGTCGTTAGGAGAGCACTTATCATCTTGTCAAAAGGGTAGCAAGTCTATCTTATAGGCGAATTGATCCCTACTTTGGAGAGGCGGGAGTCAATATCCCGTGTTACAACCAAAAATCGACTTATACTTCAGAACCTTTACAGTTTGCCTGCTGATCGTGAAATGATAAGGCCCTTCCATGAATCCATTCTGAAGCTATTACCGGCAAAATTCATGCTGATAATAAAGCTGTCGAGAGTGAGTAAGCTCAGATTTGACTAATGGCCTCCACATTCAGAGATATTGGGCCTGTGATACAACTGTCAGTGAAGAGTTCACGCTTTTCTTAACCGGCCACGGAAGGGCATACAGTAGTTGCTCCTCACCCAGATCGGATCCACGACGGGTAGTCTACCTTGTAAAAAGGGAACCTCAGCATCACGGCGAAGATCTTTTCTAATGTGAACTCTACTCTGAAACCAGTTGGTACTCCAATTCATAAGAAATCCATTTAGGTATTCCTGTATACTTCTAACAAAGTTCTCAGTCGCTCACTAGTCGGAGCTCTGCTCACGTCATTGGAGAAAATGAATTTGAAGTTGGTCCAGGCAGCGATGATCAGCCCGAGCCACGATATTCTCAAGGTTGGTCTCTTCTGAATTCTTGCTTTCCCATTGCCTTGGGATTGCGGTGGTAATTGAAGATGTTACTAAACATAAGGCCCAGGGTCCAACTCCCAGGTCCAAATCACCCTATCAACACTTCTCTCATCTTCCCTTAGTCGATCAACTACCTAAAAAATAGTACAGTGACTTCTACCTCCATTGCACCACCCCTCCCACTGGCAGTAGGATATATGTCGAATGTAGCTTACCCCCAGAAAAGATGGTCGACAACGACGAACCCCTTACTTTTTCACAATGTCAAACCAGTGATATGAATCGCAGCGGAACTCCCGTCAGAGGAAGGAGTTTTACTGCGTTCATTCCACCAAGCTGAATACGATTCTCCTCAAAGATTGGAATTCTTTACCACGCCTGAAAAGGGGTCGATTTCAGAAGTCAGCAATTCTCAAGAAAGTCGGACGTCAGAAGGAAGTATGCCTGATATCGCTATGGCGTGGAGGCGATTCATTCAAACATGTTCACAATGCAGCCACCCGATTTTGCAGAGAGTACGCCTTTGTTCTGGGTAAGTGAAGTAATCGTTGGGACACAAATGTAAATTTAGGGGGAGGGNATTCAGTAAAAGGCAGAGAGTCGAAGTAAGTAATCTGAATGCGCAACACTACGTTCTTCAAAAAGTCCTGCTCAAAAATTCCTCCCATGAGTCACACAAGTGATATCACAGAAAGACCGCCGTAATCATAGTGGCAACCATTTCTCCTCCAGTGGTGGTGACCAGTAGTCCGACCTTATCGTGAATCCTTTCAGATGTCGACATTGCTATGACTGACTCCACAAAATCAACACGCAAAGAAGCTGAGCTGTGGATACCGTGAGTTTACATCACCTTGGAATTTACCCAATTTTGAAGTGGTAATCACAAGGAAGAGGAGGGAGGCTCCTGCAAACTGTCTGATAGAAAATTCGGCGACCAGATTCGACTTGCGCGCAGGAATCAGTGCCTGGGTCGGCCACTGAGGCACTCAGGAATCTACCACCCATGCTCTTGACCATATGCTTCGGAAAGCGCAATGAGCGTAATGATTTCAGAACACCGGCATCAATACCAACAACAACGAACACTCCCGCAGATAACGTCGGAAACGCAGAGCCCATCACCAACGAGCAACCACCCAATTTAGAAGAGGAGAATCCGGCTCCAGCTGGTGATGTCGATCCAGCTGTAATTTTGCCCAATGTTGTACAAGATCCTGAAGATGTTATACTTGTTCGAGAAAGTTCTACGGCTGATACTGTGCCCGTAGGTGATACAGTTGATCGCATGACTCCACCAAATCACGAGTTACCTGAATTACAGGCTCCTGAAGCAGTAGGAAACCACGCACCTGCACCTCCTGCTACCAATGGCGTCTGAAACCTTTCCTCTATTACTTCGCTTACATTTTCTTTCGCTCTGTTCACTCCTTTCCTTTGTGCCAATGTCTAATCGTCTACCTTTTCATTTGAATGATCCAGGACTTTCATCCGAAGGAACTTGTGAGTACTTTTTTTGCATTGTGTATAGGATACAGGATTACCTCTGTGAGCGTTGGCTAACCTGCGAGTAACTTTGAAATTGACTTTGTATCATTATATTTTGAGAATTATGTCAGAATCCCGAGAGGCAGAGATCGTGTAATACAAAATGGATGTTGACGACGAGCTCAGAAAGCCGGAAAAGCGTCAGTTTAGATAGCCTTCTAGTCGACCCTACAAATACCGTAGCCTACCATCAATAACCACAAAATCGTCAACTCTAGATCTATTCAAACATAGTAGATGAATATTTGAGATCTCGAAAGTTTCTGTCTTCAGCATTTCTGCAGCAATCTCTGCCTTTCACCTGAGCGATTCCATATATTTATATGAAACTGTCAAGTTCTGAATTACCCTCCCGTGCCGAGGCTCTCCGAATCTCATTTGTTGCATGCTAGGTATCCCACTAAAGCATGAAGTGATATTCAGATCGCCTCTACCCAGAACGGCAATACAGTCGCGTATACCTCCAAATAATCGTGAAATNCTAGTAGGCCCAAGTCAGCCAGGAAGGTTCCAGTTTAGACAGCCTCCTAGTCGACCCTACAAATACCGCAGTTTATAATCAATAAGTATAAAATCGTCAACTCCAGATCGATTCAAATTCAGAAGATGAGTATTTGTGATCACGAAGCTTTCTGTCTGCAGCATTTCTGCAGCGATCTCTGCCTTTCACCTGAGCGATTCCATATATTTATATGAAACTGTCAAGTTTTGAATTACCCTTTCGTGCCGAGGCTTTCTGAATGCCATTTGTTGCATGCTAGGCATCCCACTAAAGCATGAAGTGATATTCAGATCGCCTCTACCCAGAACGGCAATACAGTCGCGTATACCTCCAAATAATCGCGAATGATGTATAAAATGTTCTAAATCTATATATCGTTTGATTTCTCTGTTTGGTGATTTGACGCTGTTTATCGATTATCTAATGTCTGGTATTCTCAGCGATGATCAGAATGATTTGCTTTTTTCCGGAAGTAAATCTTTTAGCGAATGAGTCTGGGGTTATCGAGTTTGTGGTAAAGACGTGGTTAGTGATGAGAAGGGAACAGACAGTCTGTAACTAATGTTGAAAACCGAACCAGAGACTGAACATGCAACAGGTTCTAATTAGCCCGTAAAATGGTCTGGTCTCAGCACATGATCACATATACGAAAGAAAATACTCGAAAGGAATGTAACACATGGATATTGAAGATATTTAGTGAAATATGGACTGAAAAGACTGCTCACCTGGTTAGCGGCATAATTCCTCCGGTGGGATTCCAGTCTTTACCCCGTTTAAGTTTCGCATAACGCTCGCCGCTCCTTTAAATGTGGACAACTCAATGTCCAACCTGCTCCAGAAACATAGAAGACAGCTCAACGTTCTGCTATGAAAAAAAACTCGTAAAACCTAATGACTATAACTATTATCTATGAAATAATTCTCTAATTGACCTGGGGTGCAGTCGCATTTGTACAAGTATATAACCAACGGATACGGCGAGTTGGGCTCAAAGTCCCAGTACCACCAAGTTGGAGCACCAAGCAGGACAATTGACAAATAACCGCTTACTGTAAACGTTTGAGAATCACACTTATTCTGCAACTCGACTGCACCCTTGCAAGCTTTGAACGTTATCCAGCATTTATTAACAGTCGGATATGACTCCACATCTCGCTGCTACTGTTCATACATCGATCAATGTAACCAATTATTCGCATCGATTCAACCATTACGATTTATGAAAAATTCTTATTCATGACGTTGTCATTTGACCTTTATGACAAGCATGACGCGCTGAATAAATTAAAGTATCCAAATGTAAAGATGAACACATACAGGGAACACCAGAGAAGCGAACCTATTTTTGAAGATTTATTCGATAAAAATTCTTATTACTCTGAATTCACTTAATAAAGTCAATAGGTTGAGCAGTAAATGCAACATGAATCGAAAGGCTTAAAGACTTCGTAGAACGCAGTCAGTCGATTCTCCAATCATCGCAATGCCTAACAGATCCATGAGCACAGACGTAATGCCTAAGCTTGACATCGATTCGAAAAAAGCTCTTATACAGAACAATTGATACCACTGAATGAAGTAAAAAGGAGCACGAACATCGTTACTGATACAAAATGAGAAAGGAAATCAGCATGCATAAACTAGGAACACTACTTTACGACACTACTTCATCTATTTACACTCTCTACGAAAAGAATTTGAGCCGCAAATTGTCTAACAACGTGACTTTTTACGATCTTCGTCGTGATAGGTAGGGAGAGGAATGCCTGAAATAGCACCAAATACATTGTTGATGTATTATTGTCGTATTCAGCATATCCAAAAATCAAATCAACCGTCGCATTGTGATTTCTCGCCGACTCTGGTAAAATAGACCTCCTTTGCTCTACCCTCCTAGAACCTTTCGTACAACCCAGCTGAGAAAATGCTCCATGGCGCTTCTTGCATTACAGTATGCATTGCCTCTTCAGACAGGTAAAGGCTACGAGCGACTGCACTGACATTTCAATGTCAGATTCGGTACTTTAGGAAATTACGCTGGAGCTTCTTTGTACTTTGTAAATTTGTTAAGAACTTGTCTTAATGTGATCCAATGAGACTATCACAGTAGAAACTGTTTGTTAATGATCACAAAGAAACCACAATTAGTTATCACAGAAGAAAAACGAATGCTAGGTTATCACATTACAAGTTAGGTTGTTATTACAAGAAAAACAACAGACCGATGATGCAAATAAAACGAACTCAAGCCGTATGTAAGCTTAATGAACTGGCTCGCGTTGAACGGCAATCTACATTGTACGAACCCGAATAACATGTCTCGCTGAACGGTACGCTCCACTCGTCATCGCTGTCTACCTTCATCGCAGCACCACGTTCATGTGCATATTTGGTCCACACTCGTTGTACAACATCTCGACATGCCAACGATCCCGCTTTGTTGGTCATGAAACGCGTCAGAAGAACGCCATCGGCGCCCATGAACTAGAAACCATTCATACAGAAAATGACATATAGAAAGTCAAGCTTGAAGTGAATCATTCGAAAGTAATCTGGATATAAAACTCACCCCATGAACGAATTTGCTAGCCAAGCCATGTTTGTCATTGAGAAGTAACTCGTCATCTTTCTCCTTAACATTATGTAAGTGCCCAACAAAATCAAAGAAAAAAAAAACGAAAAAATTGGATCAAACTTTGGGACAAAACTATCCGAGATAGGCACTGCTTACAACTGTAATGACTCACACCGGCAAGGATTCATGTCTAGATTTCCTTCACATTAAGCTAGCCCTTCCATAATCTCAATATTATATTATTGCAGTATTGCATCTCTGTTAGACACCCATTCATTCATTGTTAGACATTCATCCAAACTTTTGTCTCGGAAAGGCGTACTAATCAGGAAATTAACTCTCATAAAAACTCACCCTGAGATAGGTTAGAATCGTATCTTCTCTCTGTGACTTGTTCATGATTGAGCCCACGAACATCACAATGTTGACCATAGTAATCATTATCAGCTGGCAACAAAGGATGAGCGTTTAGGATCAGGAAAGAAAATGAGGGGACCTACTAGCATGATCCAGAACCACAAGAACAGGAAGAGCTTTTCATTGATGTAGTTTAATGGAATCATACACTGAGTTGAGCTTGTGTGCACATTATTGTTCTCCACCATCTGAAAAACTCACTCTGTAAAAGACACAACTATATTGCTATATGTGCGAGAACACATGGGCTTGGAGATGGGAGGGCAGTCAATGAACGGGAAACACCAGATTACCTCAGTACTGTGACCCTTCTGTCTGGTTGTAATGTGTAATGCACATCTCGTCCACGAACGACATTGACTCCAGCTAAACCCTCCACAAGAGCCCTTCCTAATGAGAAATGAGTTTTGCTGGGATATTACTAATAAACCCACAAGGTTGGCGAGTTAAGGGATAAAGAATAAAGTTTTTGGTGTTAATCAATCCCGTCTGCGGGATGCGCTCCAGCACTCGATTTCCATTCAAAATCGTAGTGGCATGAGTGCGTATGTGGCCTATNCAATGACTTACGGTGGCCAGCCGATGTACAAGTCATTGCATTTGTCCTCTCGGTCGAGTCTGGTACAAATTCACCGACCCCGAAAGGATGGAAGGTTTGGAAGGCCTGGGAGGATTTCGAGTTGGCGAGTTATGGGCAAAAATTCGGCCTCGGACAGGACTCGAACCCGTACTGCGCTTTCCTTCCCTATTGTGCACTTTATCTCTTATATTGCCGACACACCGGCTTCCCCTTACTAATAATTATCAGTTCACCACCTGTGCGACATTAACGTCAATCTTGGAAGGGATGTTACCCTTTACGTTCTTCTAGGTATCCAGAAATTCAAAACGCACCCCAATAAAGAAGTTTGTGGAAGGCAGTTAAGAGTCAAAGCTTACCCTGGTGTAATTACAGAAGACTTCAAGAGGGAAGTAAGGGAACTGTGCCATACCACCATGATGCGGAATTCGAACTCCGCCAATCATTCGCGGAAATGCTTTTTTCGTCAAAAAAGCCAGCATCATCTGAAAAAAAGACCGTTAACGAGATGCGAATATTATTTGAATACAATGAAACTGACCCGAAGACCCCAACGCATATCGGGAAAGCCAAGGAAGTATGTCGTGAGGTAGAGCTGCAGAATTGCGTTCATGAGGTACAGAAATTTTGTAATACCATAAAAAACAGTCGCAACTGCTGGCATGCGGAATACGGAAGAGATGACACCACGCTGGAAAATGCAAAACGAATTTTAAACTGAATAATACTAATGCGATGAAATTTTATGTAATCCGGTAATTAAATTCACACAAATGTTCATCATTTGAGTTGAAGATTACTGTAGATGGCTGCATGGGACCTGACATGGCTATTCATGCAGCTGTCTTCTACTAATTACTATTAGCCTATATAGAAACCAGACAATTTCGACATACACGAGCGATTTTTCTGTAGTAGAAGTAGCTAAATATGTAGTCCGCGATATTACTCAATTTCGATGAACGATTACTCGAACGCTTTTCAGCATTCAGCTCTGAACATTCCGTTACCACCATAGACATATCGATATCTGAATGGCGACGAAATTGTAAAGTTGTGGAATCATGGATACATTATTCCTTACAGAGATAAGACTGTATGTAGACCCAGAAAAAGTCAGGCACCATGAAGCACAACAATTGAAAGGCGAAAAAGAACGGGACCCACTGAAAGCGAAGAAACATTCTAATTAAACCCGACAACTTCCAATATTTAAAGCAGTTTTTCTAGAGAAAAGGCAAAATAAAACAAAAAAAATCATCGCAAACAAAAACAACCTGATAGTATTTGATGGAAATGTAGTTCGTGTTTGACGGATCCCGTCCATTCAAATATGGGGTGGTTCTATTCATGCCGAGTTCATAACGATAAGTACCTTGCATGAAGCAGTAATCGAGTATGTAGGCTTGCCAAGTGCGAACCTCTGAGATGGTAATACTATACATATAGATCGAAATTGAAAAACAGAAATGTAAAAAATACGGATAGAGACAGGACAGAAGTATTCAGGTACAAGTTCCGATTAGACGTTTGAATGCAGTACCAACAAACCTAGCATACTCTTCCTACTTCCTACGCCCTTTCCGCCCATTCCAGTACACAAAATTTTTGATTGCGTAAGAAAAAGTGAGGCTTGCACGACTACATGAACATTAGCGAGTGGAACGCAGAAGATCTACCCTTTTCTTGTACATATTTAGCCAGAACCAAGCCTTCTTAACATTTTTCGAAAGTTCTCCTGATACAAGAGACAGCAACCCTGACGAAGATTGTACTTAGGAACTGGCCTAAACGTTGGGAACTAGCCCAAGTTGATAGCCTCACCAAGAGTCTGAAAATCATAAATAACAAAAAAGGAATCAATGGAAAACACGCACTATCATAATCAGCCGAAATGAAGCAGTCGATAGGATTTCCAAAGTGTTGCTTTGCGCCAACGAGTAACGCAAAAATGCAAAGGACGTAGACTGAAAAGAAGAACTAACTCTATTTCTACACTGACAGCTCACTACACAGCAGTAATCTGTGAAAGTCGTCTACAGACACGGTTTTCTTGCTCCAGCTGGTCACTTATCGACAGCTAATTAACAATATCCTTCAAATACCTGTCACGTAGTAGTGCAGGCGATCCACATAATCTTCCAGCGGTTGCTTGCGATTGTTCTTACGACCTTTGAAGATGTCGTCGAGCAAAGGAATATTAAGGAACATGACGATGAAATTATCAGAATTCTAATTCGCTACTTGGTCAGCTGATGTTTGACGCTCTGAAAGTATCGGAAAAGCCTAGAAGGAACTTTGTTACAATTTTTGCCAACAAGCAAAGAATGATTCAAAAAATCAACAGCTTTAATAGCAATGACAAGAGAACGGGCTCTGACCACGAGCGTAAAGGCACATATGTTTCTATTTTTCTATTTGTCCCACTGTGTTGCTGCATTATTACTGTGGTTTGTTTATTAGCGTAATGAACCAAGGCAGGCGACATCTTAAAAATGACTTGATCGCGACATTAAACAGTTACAAGCTTTCGCATACTCCCATGCAAACGGATTAGCATATGAAAAACACGGAGGTTAAATTCATTTTTTCAATGTGATAATCAACAATTCATAGTTTTATACTCGAACTAGTAAAAGAAGCTTCCAGAAACTTCTTTTGAAAGCAATAGAACGTCCAGAACTAGGCAGGATCTCTACGTATCACCATGACTTTTGAAGAGCCTTCCCTTCCGCAATAGAGTAATGTACTTGTTGCACAAACCGGATAATCGAGCAATGGAAAGCGGATTCCACGAATGGACTGGGAATTTTCCAGAAATTCGATTAACAACCGCGAAAAAGTACCAACCTCGTGTACAACAGTTTCTACCTGAAAAAGCTCAATTACATGGTTCACAATCACACAGCAAGTTTCAAAGCACCAATGCAAAAGTTTCCAGAACCATCCCTATATTACCGAGAAAGGGTGGCATTTACGGTACAGTAGGATGCATAGAACAACTAAAATCTGCCCATGTCTATCAAACGCGCAGATTGAAGTCGGGATAAAGTAAAAGATCCAAGAAATACTTTACGAGCAGCCACAAAGAATGAAGAAACCTATTTATAGGATATTTAGTGCCGCCCAAACTCGAAAGATCAACAAATGAAGTCCGCAAATTTTTTGCACAGCCGGGTTACGGTAGCCGCGCGAGCGGCGATCGGGCACCGCAGGAAGTTCGGTGCGCCATCGCTTGAGTGACAGGGTTCCGGAAAGCTACAGTTCACAGAGGAACAGGGGAACTTAACGTCTTCCTTTTCCTTTTTTTTTCTTCTTTTCTCATTAATTGTTGGGTCTCCTTGAATTCATCGAGACATCTTGGTAAGGACAGAACTTATTTTCTTTTGGAATTTGTTTGTTAAGCACAAAGTAGAACTTTGAGAATCCACTCGTCCCGCTGTACCAGCGTTCCATTCTAAGCTACTGTTGTTTGGGAGATGCTGGGACCGATTAATCCCTCTAGTGCAGAACTTCAATTTATTTATTTATTTATTAATCCAGTTTCATTGATGACCACTTTTTTTTCTTTATGAACGCGAAAAATGTGATTGTAGTGATTTACTACAAACTTCCTTAATGTCGCGACTGCCAGGAGATGCCTAACCTCATGGAGAAACGCAGTGGTGTTCTCTCAACTGTACGGTCTCGTTTTACAGAGAAATGAAAAAATTACTTCTTGGGCTTCTTCTTCCACCAAGAGTTCAGCAGTGAAGTCATCGTGAGTAGTTTTATTTTAGTTTTTTTTTTGCTACAACTCTCAAACTATAAATTCCGTTGAACCACTGAAAGCTCGGTGAAAATGTAGTTGGGGGGTACCAGCGCCTTTTTGTGCTGTGCGTCTCTGTCCCCAGACGGCAGAGTGCATATAGACCGCGCTAGAGCGTAGATATGATTTCCTTCCCTTCTAAGAGTTAGGGGAGGAGCTCCGGGGTGGAAGATATGATTACCTCGTG